AAGTCAGAGCAGAAGGTAGCACGCGAACGCGCTAGTAGCGTCCCTAAGTAGCGAGAACAAGCGGCTAACGTTATGTACCACGATATAATTACAAGTTGCGTAGCTGCACGGTCGCGTACGAGTTACCAAGTCTCCCCCCGCTCGTCGGTTAAATCGAAGATCGAAGAGTAATTGCGAGGTCTGCGGGCGAAAAGTGTTCCAAGTTAACAAGAAAGGCGGTCGAAGTCGACGAGATATCGCCGCCCTAATTGCGGATCTATCTTAAGAAGTCAGGAAGAACGCGAGCCTTCCGCCTGCGCGAGGTAACTATTAGGGTGTCGTCCGAGAATATTGCCGCGTTTTAGTCGCTTTGCTTCCTGGGTTGTTTCTAAAACAGTGTATCAATATGATGAATATGTATTAATACACCGTTGGCCAGCTCTTTTTACGCTGATTATGAAAATGTATGCATTGCCCGTTGAATATTCCATCTGTTTCCGACTGCTTTGTTCGTTTCGTTTATTTTTAGAATCGCGAAAGAACCGCGTCTTGGACGCTTTTGCATATTTATTGGAAACAAAACCATAATTTGCCCGCTGGTCTTCGCTGGAAATAAAGCCTCTACCGGATAGCGAGGCGTTACTTTCGAAAGCGTTGCCCTATTAGATAACGTGTCACGCAATCCTCACGGCCCCAATCGTCGTGTAAATCCTCGGGGTTGTTCACGCCTCGTGAATCCGCCGTTTCGGAAAAGCGGTCGAATAAAGTTATTACCGTAAAGACCTGTAAGCACGTAACTGGATCCACCGGAGATCCTTGGATCCGTTAAAGGATCAAGCGACCCGATGTTGAAATAAACAAGCCTGACGAGGCGAGAGGCCGCGCGGCGGTCTTGTCTCCCGGTCATCGTGAAATTGGAATATTGCAGGCGTAGGTGCTGGCCTTTAATAAAGAAACGAGCTTTACGAGCCTGCTTCGAATTAAGTCGAGGACTTCAACAGTTTACGCAACGGGTCCCTCGATTTGTAAGCAACGTGTGAACGTGGTTTCGTGTTTCCATTCGATTTTTAACGGGAACTCGAAGGTTCGTTATCGCTTAAAGATATAACAGTGGCATCCATTTTGGATGTTTCTAAACAGAAGAAATATTCTGGGTGCAAGATAAGTGGTGGATCCTGAAGGGTCTGTGTTGTATTCTCAAAATTCCTTCTTGAAACCCGAGTAAAATGGAAATTTTATCGTGGGCGAAATTTTATAAAAATGGCGCCATTTTTCGAGGGTCGAAGCAAGAGCCAACCGAATGAATAAATGTTTATTTTTTGAGAGCAATTGGTAGATTCTGAAGGATTTGCGAGGTTGTATTTCTTCTCGAAACCCGAGAAGAAAAAACTTAAAAATAGAAATTTTATTGTGGACCAAAATGGCGTCGCTATTGGAGGGTCGAAGCGTCCAAGAGCCAACCGAATAAACAAATGTTTTCTGGGTGCAGGTGGCTCGTTCTAAATGAATTGTGGCAGTGTATTATTCAAAATTCCTTCTTGAAACCCGAGTAAAATTTTATTACGGGTAAAAATGGCGCCGCTTTAAAAGTAAAAAGCGGATATTCGCGGAGAGAAGATCGATAGAATTTCCAACCCTGGGTGCGCCGTTGGATTTATTTATCGACGGTCGTTCGAGGTGAATTGGATTTGGGTTGAAAGACGGGAGAGTTCTCTGGCTCGCGAACTCGAGGGAGGCAGACTGAGACGTTAGATAGATCGCGGCGCCACGAAGAGGAGAAACGAGGTTGTGGGAAAGATAGCGCCTCCGGTACGTGAGATCTCTCCGCGCTGTTTCTCCGTCTGTGTTTACCGTGGATGGCTGTTTAGTAGGTCTCGCGGGAGCACCGACGTTCGCTCCTTTATCATTCGAGTTCAACGAAGCGAGATTAACGCCGGCTCCGGGAGATGACCGGTCTCGCGCCGTGGCATCGTCGTTAATTTCTTCTCCTTTCGCGCTTCTATCCTCGTCGACGCGTCAGAATCATCCGCGAATCTCGGTTCTTTCGCTTCGTTCAGCCTCCCCCCCCCCTCCTTGGTATGTTAATTCGACGATTCGTTATTTTTTTACGACATTGGAAACGAACGCAACCGACCTTCCGCCTCTCCCGTCGCGTTTTATTTGGCTCGTTTCTCGTACTGCGGCGCGGCGAAACCGCGGAAACAGTAATTGAGCGAATTAGTCGACCGAGCACTTCTACGGGGCGTTTATTCACTGAACGGCTCGAACCTATGATCAGGCGAATGATAAATGTTCGAAACGGTAGTTTAACAGTATCCTCGTACAGCGCTCCGTCGTCCCTTGCGTTCGGTCTACTTCGACTGTTCCTATCTCGCGGGTCTTGCATTATCGCAGGTAGTTGCAAATTTATGATGATGCAAAGCTGCATTAGCAACGGTTTAATTAATTGCCAATTTATCGGGATATTCTTGCAAACTATGAAGCGTTTTTACTCCTCTCGGTTTCACGAAAACGATCCGTCACTGTCCCGGCGGATTCTTCTTTTTTCGGCGTAATGATCGTACTTGGCCGGTGAAATTAATTTCTGCGAAATGTTTCGAATCGAGCAGTAATTACATTCGAACTGCCTCGGATATTCAGCAATTCCTATTTCGCCTCTGAACGCTTAGTTGGCCTTTTATTCGGAATTCTTATCCGCGAGCATCCTCGTGGTCGAAGATAAATTAGAATTCGAATTGCACGACGAATAAAAAAACACTTGCCCGAGCGATTCGAAGGAAAGTCACGAGGAAACGCGGGTACGCTATCCATTATTGCATGTCGCGTTATTACCGATGCCGTAAAACGCAAACGCTATCGAAGAATTTTCCCCATCGATCGGAACGAGCGAATTATCCGGGATCGTTTCATCGGTTACGCAAACACAATTCATCCAATTAGGCGAAGACCTTATCAGTCTGATTGCTACGCGTCTCCTGGCGACTGGTTGCATCGCAATATTAAGTCTATCGTCCAATTAAAATAATCGTAATTACTAAGTTCTCGTTGCAGAAGCGCAGCCGCGAGGAACCGTTAGGGGCGAAATAAATTTTCCCGGTGCCGGAAAAACATCGCCGCGGTTAATTAAATCCCCCCGTGCTTGGGCGCATTCTTCGTCGGATCGTCGGATGTTTTCGCTCGCCACGCGTCTTATCGTGGAATTCGCAAATAAATAATTGGATACTCTAATTAAACCGGGCTGATTTTCTTGTACGCCACGGCACGGGTGTCGCGGACGCGCCGTTGGAATGTATTGGCCGCGTCGATCCTAAGAAAATGATGGCGTTATTGGGCGGTCTCCGATAACTCGGGGACAACGATAGGACGAGTTATGGCTAATTACTGGAACACGGTTTGCCACAGATACGCACCTCCCTTCAGGACTGCACGGTTACCAGCAGTCTCTCCCAACACAATATTCCCCCGCCTGGTGACTGAATTTTTTCGTCATGAAACGAGGGACTACTGTAAAAAGCTCCGTACTCGATTTCTGAGTTCGTAGCTTTTATACTTCGATCGTTCTTCTGAAGTTGGCTGGTTAAAAATACAATCAACATCTCTTGAAACTACTTTACGAACAACCCGATATATCGAGTTAGATTTTTCTCGTTAAGGAGTTAGTTTCCGCTCGTTAAGGGCACTCGGTGTATTTCACGCGTTACGTGGGCCGTGATTAGCAACGCAAGCTCCGCAAGACGTGGGTGTGAGTCGAAATAAGGAACCACGGTGACTTTTAAATGGATCCAACCGTTTTCCCCCGGCGAGAATAGCCGCGCGAGTTTGTTCCCGACAAATTATCACCTCTGATGTATCAGAACTCGATTCGGACCTGGCAGAATGCAGCTCGAACAACGTTGAATCACGGGAAGACGAGCGTCCGGAAATTTTTACAACGCACGCTGGACGAAGTTCAAACGCGCCGACAAACGTTTCCCTCTTTCGCGAAGATTATGCCCGGGGGGGGACAGGTTTCCGCGCGTTCGCGATAAAATTTCGACCTGCTAAAACGTTATCTCTCGTTCCTTGAACTTTTGAGTTATCGTATCGGGTCGAGAAGAAAGAAATTTTCAATTTTTAAATCTAAATTTAGAATTTAAAGATGTTCGAGATACAGTATTCCACTTTATCAAACGTTTGCAATTTCTGTATTATCGAGGATATTTCGACGAGTTCGATGTTACGGGAGGGGGAGAAGGTTCCTCCGTTTTGCGTAAAAATCGTTTTCGATTATTTTAAACTTGGCGAGATGGAGGTCGTTGCTCTTATCCAGACCAAAATACCTGAAATATGCACGATCCCGCCGAGTGACTGATACGTGCCACGGCTGGCTTTTCACTTATTCATACTCTCTTCCCGTTGCAGTCGATTGTCTGTCAGTTGCGACAGAGTTTGCGATGCTATTTTAGAGATCGAACGAACCACGCGTCGAGTCGTTCGTCCTGGCCCCTTTTATTCTATTATCCTTTAACATTGCGCCTGACAGGGTTCAACGTCGGCGCACCGGTACGATTATGGGACTCCTCCTGACTTAGAGCTCGAGGAGAAATCCTTTTCTACGTCTTCTTAACGCTTTTATTGCTCGAGACATTGCTTGCAAACAAGTGGATACCATACAGTTTGATATAAGGTATTCGACGTGCTATTCGAGCAGTGTTCTCCTTTTTAACGTCATCTTAATATCGTATCATTACAGTTAATTAAATTTCCCCTTTGAGTCAGCCAGGAGAAATAATAATTTATAATTGAAATTTCAAGTGATTCGGGTCAATATAAATTCTTAATAAATACAAAAATACCTTAATAATTTCTTTGATTCCGGTCTTGAAAGTTTCATCCGAATTACGTCATTTTTACGGGTTAAGATCTCTTCGATAAATTAACGTTCATCGGTGACATGATCTTTTCGAACGTCGTAGAGACAGACGTCTCTTTTTAGCGTTTTAAGCCGGAACACTTGTTTCAAGTTCGACGTTTGTTTTCAGAATGGAGACGTTCCAAGAAGCCGGTGTACAGATGTTGAAGGAATTCAGAGCCCTCCTGCAACATTCGCCGCTGCCTCTTCCCGGGACGCGATTGCTTCAGCTTTTGGCCCTGAATATGTTCGCCATCGAGTCGACGCAGCTGAAAGGTGAGTCATGTATCATTTACCCGCTCGATTCTATCTGCAACGTTCCCTGAAACGAGGAATCAGCCAACGATTTTCACAAAAACTCCATCGAATCGTCCGGATGGAAAGATTCTGCTTATTTATATTCGTCGAAGACTAAAATTTAGCAGAGGTCGTTTATTTAGTCTTTTCCAACTCGCAGATAAAATGTTTCCACGGGTCTAAATGGACCCGTATTCCGCGTCGTAACGGAAGAAAATGATTTTCTTAGGGAACGGGTGGAATAGAAAAGCAATCGGGGGGTAGGAAAATCGTGGATCGCGCGCGCGCGCGCGACGATAGATCGATAAAAGGTTTCTCTCGCGTGCGTTTCGTGTGGACGCGATAGGCCGCCGCGGTAGAAGGAGAAGAAGAAAGTTGTTACGACAACGTTGTAACCGGCACTTTAGATCGGATCTCTTTCACGGCCACGGCCGTCTCGTTATTTAATGTTACTACGCGAACTTCGCTCCGTCCGGCTTTATTGTTTCACGTCGTTCTGTCGGCGCTGGCAACGCGAACGGCTGCAATAAATCAGAATAACGACTACGCCTGCTGCCAAAAGCCATTCGAATTCAATCCAACGTATCGTCCCCGGGGGATCTTCGCGTTTTCAGACGCCGAACACCCGTCAATACAAACTGCTCTCCGTCGTTTATCTCTTACGAATGTCGGGAGCCTCTTCATTGAATCCGGACCGCGCCGTTCCCGCGGATCGTATTTTATCAAAATTTCTCGATTCCCGTGTAGACGGTCGATCGAACAGTTTCCTGAGATTTTATTTATTATTCATACGATCGGAATAATATTATTACAATGTACCATGACAGCATAGTACATTTGCTTTAGATTACAAACAACAGGGGTATCATTGAAATTCGATATCAGTGTGAGAGAAGCATATTTTTAATATCACCTTTATAATAATATTTTATCACAGCAAATAAGTAGCGTCGAGTTGATCTACGAATCGACAAATATTTAACAGATTTTAACGCGTCGTTAAAGGTGGAACGTTCGGGCGTGAAATGGAATTTGGTAGAGGCGGGTGGGTGGCGCGTAAAAGAATGATGAAACGCAGAGATATTGGACTGACCAACAGCCGGTTCGCCACCCTCGAGTCGGTTTTACGTCGTCCAGAATTTGTTCTGGGTATTGAGTCGTAAACGTGGCGTTGCCGTATAAATTTACGAACGGCGAGTTTTTCGGCGCGCGTAAATAATATATACAGCCGAAACGGCGTGCCGTTTTCACGCCCACGACGCTTCCTCGAATTCTTAAGCGATTGGAAATTTGACGTGCTTCCAGTCGTAAATAACGACCGGTATAAAGTATAATGGGAACGAACCGCGGAGAAGACCGCCTTCGACGCGCTGAATTATTAGAAAAAGAGGGGATCCACGCTGTTGTAAATTGTCCGTGAAAGAAATTTAAAATAATTTGCTTTAAATCCTGACACCGGTTAAATTCGCTTCTCGCGAGTTGGCCATTCGCGTAGGTAGATCTACAGAGATTTTTAACAATTCTCTGCTTTTTGCAAACGTGTTTCGAAATGTAGGTTACATAATGGAGATCTACGATAGAGAAACCAAGAGTGAGATTAGCGTTAACGAGGCCGATTTGCTGGCATAAGATTTCCCATTGACGATCGTTTCTTTCAACTTTCTGCAATTTCATCGTGATTTTCACTGGATTATCGCATGCGTATCCGGATAACTTTGCCTAATGCTTTCTGAGTCATACTCATACCGGCGGACTCGCCGATGCTCTCTTGCCGTGAAAAAGCAACAGGCCGGTAGAGAATCCCGTGTTTTTGCAGCTGCGTGCAGGTGCTAGTCCCATATAATTATCACTAATTCCTGCACGAGAGCGAAACCCTGGTCAAGGACTCCGCTTCTCTCAGGATGAAACCCCCAGTCTGAGTCACCGGCGAGCCGGGTGGACTCTCGCTGGTCTATTTTCCGATGTAAAACTGTCTGCACGGATCTTTTGCATCTGCTCCGAGACTTTTTTTCCGTCGGCCATTTAACTGCTCGACTTCGTGGCGTCGGAACGAAATCCTTTTCTCTAATGAAAATTTATCGTTCGTTCACCTCCGTTTCCAGCGATGTCTCTATAACGCGCGTTCTTGTTCAAAAATAATCACGGGGATCAAAATTATCGTTAAAAAGTTCCTGGGACCTCGAAGTTATTGTATCAGGTCGGCGGGTAAAGAAATTTTTAATTTTTGAACGTAAAACATCATCATTTTATCATCGAAATTTCGTTTCTTAAATATATTTGAGAATATTCTAGTAAATCAACACCTTGGTCAAGAAATCAGGACAGTCTTTATTATCCAATAGCCATCGTAACGTAAACATCTTAATATTTTAAGTAGGTTCGTATATCCGTTCGTCCAGCTGCAACAACAGATTTGTAGGTCTGTAGACAAACAGCTGTGCTCCAGATAATTGAATAGAAGCTATAGCTGTGCCCACAAAGGGTCGAATCCCTTCGCCGCGCGAATCGATAAATTGCAAGTAATTTATGCCGCATCATTAATATTTTTCTCGACGTGCACACAGCGCGTCGGTGCAGTACGGTTAGTTCTAATCAAGTTAGCGATCTCACTCCCGCTAACGAACCAGTTTACCCCGCCTTCGGTGGCTGCACGCGGGTACGCTTTAATTATCCAGCGCCGGATGATCGAGCATTCGGAATACTTCCTGATTGTTCGACCGATAGGAACGATCGAGAGTCGTTGGTACCACGCGACAACGCAACGCGAGCGCAACGCAACACTTGCCACATGCGAATAACCTTATCCATGACACAGTGATGACCGGCTATCAACCGGCCAGTAATTGAAATCGTAAACAGTGCCGGTAATGACCCATTGAGTTTATGCATTCATGTCGACACCGTCTGCGGTTGATGTCGGTGAACGTCAGCCTTCATCGTGCGGTTTGCTCTATCGATTTTCAATCGAGCCATCTTCCATTGGCACGCTGACGCAGGTAATAACGCCGGTGCTTGGCTTCTTCGGGATAGATAATCATTCGTATATTATTTTTTTGTTTTACGCCACGAAAACACGGTCTGTTTGGAAGACGAACGAGAATCGAGTTACACGGAATATCTGTCGAAATAATTTCTGGTAGATTTATTAAAAAAAAAAAATCGTGTATTCGATTTATTTAACACTGATAGGGCATTTATGCAAAATTCTATTATTATTCTATTCTATAAGTCTGTCTTGCCTACCACAACCGGTCATCTGACCGGTTTGAATGATTTATATTATTTGTAAAAATCTGGACAAAATTTGTTATCAAATTCTGGTTAGCTTCCGATGTAAGTAGGAAGTATACGTACATCAAAGATGAAAGGAGAGAATCTTAAGCTTCCACTGTCTTAGAATAGTCTAACAACGCTTATTAAAAATAGTTAAACTTCAGACGCGTGCAGATCCGAAGCTACTAGTGTTTTATCCATAATTGAACCACTGTTGGCAGCGGTGAAGCTTCCCCTTTAATGTGGTTTTCGGTTTTCGTCGATCCGACTTTCCGTTTTCGAGATATCGTAATTTATGTGAAGGAGTAATTTTTTAAAAACTCCTGCGCATGGCTCTCGCCGTGTTAAACCGGGCCGCTAACGCGTATTAAAATTACTAAAACTTTAATTACTTGCAGTTTCGAAATTATTAGTATTTTCTCCATTATTGCACCATTTTTAGCGGCGGCAAAGCTTCCTCTTTGAAATGGTTTTTGGTTTTTGTCGATCGGACTTGCCGTTTTCGAGATATCGTAATTTATGTAAAAGTGTATTTTTCTTAATTTGACTATCTCTGTCTCCGTCTGACGCGTCGCGCCGGACCTCTTTCTCGCACGTGAGTCGTGCTGACCTACCCCACGAACGTGACTGTCGTGACCCAGTTTCGGGCGTAGTATTTCCAAGAATTTACTACGCATTGTTTACTAGCGACGCGCTCGAGATCAATGAACTCGCGCGCGCACCAACGAAACGTAAACAAACTTCGAGCCCTTATATCTCCGTAACCAGCCACCGCATCGACTTGAAACTAAAATCGCCATATCTCCGGAACTATTAACGCTATCCACTCGTACGAACGCTCATTTTAAAGGGCATTTCATCCTCTATCCGATGACTGTAACAACTATTATTATTTATGCTGTCTTCTATGTTTTTTTTTACATTTACTTTGACGCTATATACCCAAAGAAGTTTTAGCAGTTCCTATTGATTATACATCGATTATAAATTGTTTATTCAATTGAAAATGAATTTAAATTTGTATACGGGATGTTTGCAAGGACGTTTTATTTTCTATCGGATGAAAATTAAAAAATATCCACGTAGTTTATAAATCTTCTGTATGAAGTTAAAGTACTAAGTGTGTGCACGTTTAGAATCGGTACGTTACAGTTAGAACGAGAATATAAGGAACCTTTTTTGAGTTTTCGTTATTTTTTATAATAAGTTATATCGATCCACGAAAGTTTTCTTTTCTTTTTGAACCCACTACTGAAAAAAGTTATCCATCACTGGTACCGAGAGTCGTTGTATAGATAAAATATTCATACGTTACAAGTATCGATGCGATGTTCCGTTAAGCGTGGAACGCAGAAAGCGAGTTCGTAGATAAATGTTCGTAGGCGAGCGTTACTTACGCAGGATGATGAGCAGAATAAGAATGGCGGTTTCAAAGCTCTAAAATCAAGCCTAAACTGGATAAATAGACGTAAAATATAATAACGAAGTAACGAAGCGCAATGCGCGGTACGTCGGTAGGAAATAAGAAGAACGTAAGTGGAAAAGCACGTTATTCACGGCGGTAACTTTAATCTTTCTACCTTCTGGGGGCCTCTTCACGACGATCCCCCGACGCTCTCCTTCGCGTGTAATTCATTTCACGTTAACGTGCCACGGTAAAAATGAAATGTCTCTTTTCTTCTCTCGAAATGTCGAGTCATCCTCGA